TGGTAATTATGTTGGTAATTTGCTGCTTCTCTTTTGTTTTCTTTGTCAGTATTGCTAGAGGTTTGTCAATTTTACTGATCTTTTCAAGAGATCAACTCTCATTGTCAAACGATTTTCTTCTTTTTTCTGACTTAAATTTCATTGATTTCTTTATTATTTCCTTTGGGTTTAGTTTGTACTACTTTTTATAGATTCTTGATGTGGGAATTTAGGTTATTGATTTGAGACTTTTTCTTCATGTAAGCATTTAGTGCTAAGAATTTCATGTTTCAACTGTGTGCCACAAATGTAGATATGTTGTGTTTTTATTTTCGTTAGGTTTAATGTATTCCACAGCTTTTCTTTGACCCGTGTTTGCTTAGAAATGCGTTGTTTAATTTTCAAATGTTTGGAGATTTTTCCATCATCTTCCTGTTGTTGGTTTCTAGCCTGACTCTGTGCGATTAGAGGACGTACTCTCGATGATTTTAACTTTGCGAGGTTTGTCATACAGCCCGGATGGGGTCTGTCCTGGTCTGTGCCCCTGAGCAGTGGAAGAGATCATTTGCTCTGCCCTCATTGGGAAGAGGGTTCCACCGAGGATGTTGCTGAATTCTTCTCTGTCACTGTCGATTTTCTGTTTAGTTGTTTCGGTTGCTAAGAATGTGATGTTGAAATTTCCGGTTGTAGTTGTGGGTTTATCTCTTTCTCCTTTGGCTCCGTCAGTTTCTGCCTCACGCATTTGCAGCTCTGTTGTTTGGTACGTGCGTGTCTAGGGTTGCTGGCCTGTTGGTTGATCGACCCTTGTGTCACATGCAAGTTCTCCTCTCTGCAGATAATTTCCTTGCTCTGAATAGGAAGTCACCTGATACTAATATAGCCATCACTGCTGTCCTTTGATTACTGCTTGCATGATGTATTTTTCCATAGTTTTACTTTCTTTCTTCCTATAGCATTGTATTTGACATGAACTTCATCTAGAGGGCACACGGTTAAGCCTTTTTTTTTTTTTAACGTCCACTCAGCCAATGTCATTTAGCCTATAAATTTAGCCCATTTATGTTTAATGTATTTGTTGGTACATTAGGGCTAAAATCTCTCATTTCGTTTTTGCTTTCCACATGTTCTCTATTTTCTTGTTTCTTTGCTTTTTTCTTCCCTTCTTGTGAGTTGCTTTAACGCTTTCTGAAATCCATTTTAATTTGTCTACAGTGTTTGTAAGCGCCTTTCATTTAGTGGCTGCTCCAGACTTGATGTTACGTGTACATCTGTGTAACCTGTCGTGGTGTGCTGGCGTCATCATTTTACCGGTTTGGATGAAATTTGGAACTTTATATCTCCCTTATGGCACTTCATTTGCCTCCCTCGTTTACAACGTGATTGTTTCAGTTTTTTCTGTACCTGCATTTAGAGGGACATCAGGTGGTGTTGTCTTTGGTCCCCTGTCAACAGAGCCTGTGAGGGGAATGCGTCCCTGCCCTGGCTTGCTGTCTTCTTTCTTCCTGCACGGTGTCCCCAAGGCTCTTTCTGTTGTCTTTCCTTTATATTTAGAGTTGTCCATTTGGCAGTTCCTTCAGAGTTGGCCTTCTGGTGAAAGACTCTCGTTTTTCCTTTGTCTGAGAATATCTGATTTTTCTTTCATTCCTGAAGGATGTTTTCCTTGGGTAAATCTGGACAGACAGATTTCTGGGTTGACGGTTCTTCTCTTTCACACTGGGAAAGCGTGTCCCGGTGGCCTCCACGGTTTCTGATGAGAAATCCTCTGTCACCAGAGTGTGTTTCCCTCGTGGAGAGGTGTCGCTTTGCTCTGGCTGCTTTCAGGATTTTTTCTTTATAGGTTTTCAGAAGCTTGATTGTTAGGTGTCTCGTAGGAGATTTGGGTTTATTCCATTTGGGGTGTGCTCGGCTTCTTACATTTTTGGGTTTTTGTGTCTCTTGCCAAAATTGAGAAATTTTCAGCCATTATTTTTCCGAGTACCTTTTCAGACTGTCTTCCTTTCCTCTCCTTTTGAGACTCTCGGCACGAACGGTAGACCTTTGGTTACAGCACACAGTCCCTGAGACCTCGTTCTTTTTTTGGCTGTTTTCTCCCTGTCGTTGAGATTGGGTGGCAGCTCCATTGTTCTCCCCCCCAGCTCACTGGTTCGTTCCTCTCTCCTCTGTCCGCATTCACGGAGCTGTTTATTTTACTTATTGTATTTTCTTTCAAGAGAATTAAATCGTTTATTGATTACACGTGATAATGGTTGACACACAAGCTTCATTCCTATCTATAATTTTTGTCTGGTACCATTATTCAATTTAGATATATTGCATAGGATATGCCAACAATCATCTTTATAACCAATAATTCCAGGATTTTTCCTTGCAATAAAGTTTCCATTTGATTTTTGTTTGCAGTGTCCATTTATTTACCAAGACTTCCGTTTTTCACTTGTTTCGATGTGTTCGTTGTTGTGCGCTGAAGCGTTGGCCAGGCAATCCTGACGTCTCACCATCCGGCATTGGCGTCTATGGGTTCTCTTCTCTGTTCTTTTGTGATCGTCCTTGTTCTTGGTGTGACCAGTGGTTTCCTATTGAACCTGGACATCTTAATATTATAGCCTGAGACTCTGGATCTCATTTAAACCTTGCATTTTAACTGAGAGATGGGGGTGGCTCCTTGTCACTGGCAGGTGGGGACAGAAGTCTGGGCTCCCTTCCGGAGAAGGGAGTCACTACCTGAGAGTGGGGCCTTCCCCCACTGCCGGTACCAGCTCCCCAGGGGTCTCCCCCGATGCCGTGGGGGGCAGTTACCACCAGCCGCTGCCCCCTGGGCCTTCCCAGCACCACCTGCTGGGTCAGGGGTGCCTCACTGTGGCTTCCTGGAGGAGGTGTCCGGCCCCGTAACCTCTGCCGGCAGGGTGGGGAGGGGCTGCACGTGTTTCCATGGTGCGAGGCTGGAGGAGAGCTCTTCAGTCTGAAACCCATCTTGTCTCGGTGAGTGGCTCCTCCCCTTGCCGCCTGTGCAGAGACAGGCGGCCTCGGGCGGGTGTTTCTGTCTGGCCTGGTGTTCCTGGCGGCTGCTTCGCCCGGGTCTGGGGTGTGTGAGCCGAAGAGGAGATCCGGGAGCTCACGCCGGCGTTCTTTGGTGGGCTTCCCTCTCCGCCCTTCTGAGCCTCACGCCTGTTTCACGTGTGTCCAGGGTTTCTAGCGGCGCCGAGTGGGAGCAACACGGAAAAATGCGTCTTCTCCGTCTTTCTGGAAGCTGATCTTTCTTCCCAGGGTTTTACTCCCCCAGGACGGGCCCTGGAGAGAAGCTCACAGGGAATGTTTCAACCCTCGGATCTACGCGTCCCTTGGTTTGCTTTTTATATCCCCAAACACGGATCCTTCCCGCTCCCAGGAAAGCGTGGCCATCTGGGCCGCGGAGCAGGGTTCTCCCGGGGCTGTGCGGTCCAGGCGGCCCTGTGCGTCCGATGCCGGCTGCTCTGGAGGGGCGGAGCCCTGCACAGGCCCCGGGACCGATGCAGCTCAGACCTTTGTGTTCTGTAGGAAGAAATGTCACTGGATCTCAGTTATGTACATTTGTAAAATAAACGTTTTTTTTCATGAGAGTGTCCCCCTTCGTGCTCGATTTGCTGTTTCCTGATGAATATTAGTATTAAGGCCACCCTTTTGGCGTGGCGTGGTTAGAATACGCTTATTTTCTAGATCCGTGTGGCTGAGTATTGTGCTAACGTCTACTGCGCGTTCTCCTGGGTGTGGACGGTGATGCCACACACACACACATGTGTCAGAGACGGCCCCTAGGCTGCGTGGCAGACGGGATGGATTTGCTCAGCGTTACGTACGTTAACCCTGAGAGAGGGCGCAGTGACTGTGGGTCCAATCTCTAAATGTTACATCCACACAGAGCTGCTCAGAGCAAGTTGGGGACCGTCCTGTCTGGTGAATTTTCCAGCAACTCCCACTTTGGGCGACACCATTGAGCCTTTTCAGATTTAGAAACATGCCAACCATTTGCATCTTGCCACCTGTAAAATTAAAAAAAATGTAGATTTGCATTTGAAAAAAATACTTAAGTGTGTTCATGAAGGTGGCCTAGACCTACGGGAACTCTTCTTTTAATTCCACCCAGAATATGTGGTTCTCAGCAAGTTCTGGACCTCCTTACACACACACACACACACACGCACACACACACACACACACACACACACACACACACAGACATAGGCACAGAGCCGTCCTGATTTGAGGATTTTGGTAATGTGTTTTTGTACAAGGCATAAAAATATATCTCTGTAATTACATGATATTTAGTGATTAGATAATTATGGATAATTGCACGGGGTAGTTCTAAGTGCTAAAGTGTTACCATAAGATCTAAAATGTACAAATTGCATAATAATTATTCTTGGGAGTTATTTGGTAATTCCGAGCATAATTATCATGTGATCCGCAGTGCGTGTAATTAATGCATAATCACATGGATTTTGCCTTCATAACGACTTCACCCTTGTTATGAAGCTCTTTGTCATAACATTTGAGCACAAACACAATGTAATTGGCTCCCGGATACAGCACATTAAGCCCCTGTAATCGCCTTCCCGGCAACAGCACCCCTCGTCCTGTTTCAAAGGCTGCTCTCTCGCGAGGTGGGGTTGGGAAGAGCAAGTTACCTGAGATGCGGCGGCCGCAGGTGTCACGGCGGGAGGGCGGCGGGTGACTGTGTGCGCGCAGGGGGTGAGCAGTGTCTTCGCCGTGGCCAAACCCGTCCATGTAAAGCCCTTCCCACTGGCGTGAAATCTCTTCCAGCGGAAGTGCTGGGCGAGGCGCCCAGCGCACAGCCTGGGTTGTGTTGTCACAGAGCGGCGTCATCTTCCTGGTCCACGCATTTCCGAAGGCTTCTTAAGGTTTCTGTCGGGAGAAGCTCTTAGTAGCAAGGCCTGCGAGAGGGAGCCTGGGTTTTCGGTGGCGTGGGCAGCCTGCTGCTGAAATGCGACTTCGATGACCGTGTTTGCAACTTCCCCCCACAGGTTTCACGTGGCAGGACGAGTACGCCCAGCACGTGATGGCCCAGGAGCTGGCAAACCTGCCCAGAGCCCACGCCCGGCGTCCTGACACATCCGCCCTGGCCAGGTGAGTGTGGCCTTGTTGGCGCCCCTCGTTCCCGGCCGCGCTGGCGTCTGGCAAGCCCGTTGGCTTTTTGTTTGTTTTAGGGCAGCAAATCCCGCTCCCCGCCTTTCTTATGTGGAAGTGTCGAGAATTCGAAATGTCCATATGAAGAGATCAGGGCTTCCTGTCTCTGCCATGGCGCCCCACCCCAGAGAGGATGATGGTGGTGCCACCTCCAGCACGGTGCCGTTTTCACTGAGACATTTTGGGGTCCAGGGGTCCCCTCATTCCCATGAGACCTTTGGAAAAACCCTCCTCCTCAGAGCCTTGGTTGGCACAGAGAGGTCCAGAATTCTGCTCGTTCTCAGTGAGCAGTTGTGTTCGCTTCGGTACAAAAAGCAGAATCAACCCCGAAATCCTTGGCTTCCCTGTCCCAGAGCAGCAGCCGGCACCGCGCGAAAGATGTCGCTCCGTACTGTCTCATGGCACCTCCTGCGGCCCCCGGCAATGGCCAGCGTCCTGCCTGTCCTCTCGGGAGGGATGAGACGTGGCAAGGCTGACACGTGCATCCGAGGACAGACCACGGTGAGGGTGCTGAGGTCGTCTGATTCGTGGGCCATTGTTGTGCCGTTTTTCATGCTTAAAGGACAAACGTGAAGGGATCTTTCCCATTTTTCCCAGAGAGGGAATATTCTAGAGCCATCGCCTTTAGGTAGACAAATTCCCATAACACAGAAATTTAGATGTCTGCTTTTGCGCCCACATCCGCCAGTAGGGCGGCGGTCTAGTCCTCCTGGTGTCACGTCAGCGTCCTTCCAGGGCCACAAGGCTGGGCACAAGCTCCGTCCCTGGCACACGGCACACGCCTGAGGGTGGGACCGTGTCTTTGCTCTTCTCGTGCCTGAGGCGTCGACCCTCGCTGCCTTCTATATGGAAGAGACTGAGCTGTTGTAGTCCGTACGTGTGTGTAGGACTTTCTGTAAAAAACAAAACAAAACACAAACCCACCAAAGCGTTCTCTGCTTGAGCTCTCTGGGGTGCGTTCAGACTGCTCACCGTCTGCGGATCACGCTTGCGAGGCTGTGGCGCCATCCCGGGTGACCTTGAACTTCAAGCCAGGGCTGGGCAGGCGGCCCCAGGAGAGCCGGGAGCAGAGGGAAGGGGGAACGGAGAAAGCCTCAGAGCAGTGATCCCGTGTATTCGTGGGACACGTGGGGGACGCAGCAGTGGCTGCCGCTCGGAAAGCGAGTCACCGGCAGAGCCCAGACAGAAGCTTCCGCTGGGAAACGGGGCCGGGGCCACTCGGGAGACCCGGGGGCAGCCTTTGGAGCAGCACTGAGTAGGGTCGCTAACAAAAATTGGTGGTTTTATTATGAAAAATGGTGACTTATCTTTGTCTTTTTAGTTATAAGTGAGATTAAAAGTTTAAAAGACACATCTCTAGAGACTGGAAGTTTCTCCTTCATGGGCTTCCTGCGTGTAATCTTTGTCCACATTAAAACCACAGGTTGTATGTTTCTATTTCTTTCATTATAGGGTCTCTATGTTTAAGGCTAGTAACGTCCTATATCACATTTGGTAGAAACACCCTCATCCATCTGTGTCGGAGAAGGTGTGAGGTCGGGTTGCAGATGGAAACCGGGAGCTCTGACAGCTCTCAGGCTGGTGAGGGTTCAAACCGGAAAACACCAAGCTTCCTGCCCTAAATCAGGGGCCCGTGTGGGAGGAGTCGAGCGGATGTTCTCTGGACTCCTCCCCGCCCTGCCCCCAGGACTGGATCACGTGGACCTCAGACACCACCAGGTCCCCTCGGATGCTGGCTTTAGGGGAGGTTCCGGCCAGTGAACTGCCTCCCAGCGTGGAGGTCAGAGAGCGAGGCTGGGCACACACACACCAGCTCATCCCACAGGTTCAGGAGAGGCTGAGTTGTGCTGCTCACAGCCCCAGGGAAGGTCCCAGCCCTGTGAGGTCCCAGCCCCGTGAGGTCCCAGCCCCATGAGGTTCCAACACTGTGAGGTCCCAGCACTGTGAAGGTCCCAGCCCCGTGAAGGTCCCAACACTGTGAGGTCTCAGTCCTGTGAGGTCCCGGTCCTGTGAGGTCCCAGCACTGTGAGGTCCCAGTCCTGTGAGGTCCCAACACTATAATGGTCCCAGCTCTGTGAAGGTCCCAGCCCTGTGAGGTCCCAGCCCTGTGAGGTCCCAGCCCTGTGAGGTCCCAGTCCTGTGAGGTCCCAGCACTATAATGGTCCCAGCCCTTTGAGGTCCCAGCCCTGTGAGGTCCCAGCCCTGTGAGGTCCCAGTCCTGTGAGGTCCCAGCACTATAATGGTCCCAGCACTGTGAGGTCCCAGCTCTGTGAGGTCCCAGCCCTGTGAGGTCCCAGTCCTGTGAAGGTCCCAGGCTTCTCTTGAGCTTCCTCTGGATTCTAGTTGCTCCTACTCCTGTGGGCCCAGAGGTTCTTGGCTGTTGACCTGCTGGTGTCTGCACCCTGCCTTTCCTCACCCTGTGCTATGAGATAGCCTGCTTCAGGACATCATGTTTCTGGCCCGGGATTCTGGGCCAGCTTTCTGCCTGGTGGGGAAACTCCACAGCTGGAGAGATAGACAGACATAGCGTGGCATTTTCTCCCTCGACTGCTGCCCTGTGATATTAGCCTCACGACACAAGTTGAACAGTTTTCCTTCTTTTCCTAAAATTTCTAAAAATTTTTCTTTATGCTTGAAATGATCAACTTCTAGTATTTTTACAAAATGTTCTTTCTTTGTAGATACATCTCATAAAATGTCCATTGTCTTGTGAAAGAGTTTCAGTAAAATACACTCACACTTTCACTGTGTGAATTTGGGGCATTTAAAACTTTGCAGAAAGCTGTTCTTTTCACAGAGGTCTCCAGACAGGGTACCTTGGTGTGGCGTGCGCCACCCCACTGCTAGTGAAGACTGCCCAGCTACGGGTGGTCACCTCCTTGGCCATCCTGAACATAATCTTTCTTTGCTTCTTTCCCACACAATTTTAAAAAAGAATTATCTCTTGGATTTTCTTCTGCTTAGATTTATTGTTTTTTTTTTTTTTTGAGACAGAGTCTCGCTTTTGTTGCCCAGGCTAGAGTGAGTGCCGTGGCGTCAGCCTAGCTCACAGCAACCTCAATCTCCTTGGCTCAGGCAATCCTCCTGCCTCAGCCTCCCGAGTAGCTAGGACTACAGGCATGCGCCACCATGCCCGGCTAATTTTTTTTCTATATATATATTAGTTGGCCAATTAATTTCTTTCTATTTATAGTAGAGACGGGGTCTCGCTCAGGCTCAGGCTGGTTTCGAACTCCTGACCTCGAGCAATCCGCCCGCCTCGGCCTCCCAGAGTGCTAGGATTACAGGCGTGAGCCACCGCGCCCGGCCTGATTTATTGTTTTTTTAATGAAACTTCTTGAGTTGAACTTTTTGTTCATGTTTTTTTCATTTATTTTTAAAAAATAGTGAAATCACGTAAGTCTGTTCATTTTTTGCCTTTGCGCATAATTTTGTCATCATTCCATAACTTTGATGCATTCTCATTCGCGTTTGTTCTAAATTATCTGTAATTCGCATTTTATTCCCTCTTGAATCAGTAAGTGTCTGGGCTTTTCCACCTTCCCATGTTCGTGTGTCGATTCTACACTTTAAATTATTGTCTAATTCTACCGCATTTAGTCAGAATGTGACTTTGCTCAAGTTTTACTCTAGAAATTTTGAGGTTTTCTTATATTTTTATTAATTTTCAATGGGTGTTTCAAAAACATATGCAGATTTTGAAGACAGTTTATAATTTCGTATCTACACATAATGTATAATTCTCCACACACACACACAGCAGTTATGTGATCACAGATGGATCTGTCCGTCCTCGCGTTACGACTGAATCTCCCGGCAGAGTCTGTGTTCCGATCTCCCGTTGCTGTTGGCGTCCTGGCGTTCCCGCCACCACGACTGCCCTGCCAACCGTCACACACACTGTCATGTGAAAACGGGCCTGTGTCACCTTTTAGGCGTTCTGTCCCGTGTCATTCCTGCGTCCTCCTGGTTTTGTGGCCCGGTCAGTCCACAGCCTCCCTTCAAAGTTCGACCTTGCGCTGAGTCTATGTGAAGGCGGCTTTTGTAGGGACACGAAGTCTCAGCCCCTGTGGGCAACTGAGGGGAGCTGGTGGCAGCGTGTCTCTGCTGCCTTTCCTCTGTGGCTGTGGTTGTTTGCGTCTATCTTGTTTAGTATTTGCAATTACACATCTTGTGTTAGGTTTAATTTGTGTTGGTCACCACTGGGTTTTCAAGCTCATTTTTAGAGTAATGTGTTTATTTCGTTGCAAGTAAAGGCATCCCTATGTTGTGACTCCCTGTGTGACAGGGGCTGGTCACACTGTCACCTGCTCTGCCCCCGGCCCAGCCCCGCACCTGAGCCAGGTCGTCCTGCCGCCTGCCCAGCCCTTCACCAGGTGGTCGTGGGGCCGCGTTTACTGACAAGCGAAGGTGAAGGAAGACTGAACGAATAAATGGCCGCACGGTGACTGTACCGGCCGGGAGCGTGGCCTGGCTTTCTGTGTCCCACACACACTGCTCGCATGTCCTGAGCTTGGCGGTTCTTCGAGGACCGAGCGGGCCGGTGAAAGGACAGCTGGGGTTCTGCAGACGTGGCTGTGGGGCTTGAGAAGGTTTCCGCGACCTGCCCCAAACCGTCATCCACTCGGCACGTGGAGGGGAGACTGGGATTTAGTCCTCAGGGGCTGGCAGAGTCAGCATCCTGAGCTGTCCCCTGCCGTTTCCTCTCATCACACGAGGTGCCCTGACGAGAGCAGGTCCCACGTGACGAAGCTAGAGAGGGACGGGACGACACGTGGGAGAGCAGCAAAGCAGTGATTACAGGTCCCCAGCGAGGGAACAATCTGGGTGCATAAAAGGATTGCAGAGAACATGAGGACATGCTAAGGGATGAGGGGCCCCCTAGTATCTGGACCCCAAGAACCTGGACCCCAAGGATCTGGAGCCTGAGGATCTGGACC